AGTAGCCACCTGTGGCTGGTGGGAGAGCTGGCCCGGCCCCTCACCAGCTGTAGCACACCAGAGTGAACCCTGCATCTCGCCTGGGCAGCACACTAGAGCTGACCCTGTTGGTGGGGGTGTAAGTGAGCTGGCCCTGAGGGGAGAGCAGGAAAGGTGATCCCACCCCTGCCTCATACGTCATGTGGTATCATGGGTGAGGGAAAGATGCCCCCCCCCCCCACCAGAGGCAGGTGGGACAGCTGGCCCCAGGGGCATGAGAATGAGAGAGCTGGTCCTGCCCCTCACCAACCGCAGCGCTCAGGAAAGTGGGCCCTGCATCTCACCTGGGCAAAAATAGTAGAGCTGGCCCACTCATTTTTAAGTTCGAATAATGTTCTATTGTGTGTATATATCATTTATTTATCCTTTTTACTCCTCATTACGGTGTAGCAATTGGAAGGTACTGGATTATATCTCCTCTCCCCTTAATTCTGTTAACTTGGTGTGTTCACTGACTGGTTTTCATTTATTGTACTACTTTGTACTCTAGGAGTGAGACCCACATAGTTATTCTATGTAATCCTTTTAATATGTGACTGAACCTACTTCATTAGTATCTTGTTGCTGAGATGCTACAGATTATATTCATAAGATACTGGTTTATCATTTTTTTCTTGTACCATCTTTAGCTTTGGTATCAGGGTGATTATGGCTTCAGAATGAATTAGGGGATATTCCTTGCCTTTCTCTTTCAATCTTTCTTTCTGGGGAGTTTGAGAAGGACTTGTGTGGTGATATTTTATTTGTACTTTGATAAATAAAGCTTGCCTGGAGATCAGGGGAAAAGGCCAGCCATTTTAAGTAAACAAAGTCAGGCAGCACATGCCCTTAATCTGATCACTTAGCAGGCCGGGTCTCTGTGTGTTCAAGGCCATACTAGGGAACAGAGCCAAGTGTGGTGACACATGCCTTTAATCCCAGTACCAACCATAGAGACCTGGAGGTCTGTACAGACAGGCAGTGACAAGGAAGTGATGTAGCTGGGCTAAGAGCCAATGAGAAGGCAGAAAAGCAAGGCATATAAAGGTGTGGGCAGACAGGAAGTAACTCACTTTTGGTAGCTGCAGAACTGGAGAGGTAAGGTTGGTGGCTATCACCATTTCCCTGATCTCTAAGGCTTTCACCCCTATAATGTGGCTCCGTGTTTTTTATTTAATAAGACCATTTAGAAATTTGTCTACAGACCTGTGATAATTCTTGAAACACTGAGCATAATTTATCAGTGAAACTGTCTTGTTCAGGGGTTTTGGCTAATTCTTCTTACTGGTCATAGGCATATTCCACTCTTCTTACTGCTGTTTGGGTTGGTATGTCTCTAAGCACCTGCTGTCTGTCTAGCTTCTCATAGTGCTGCTGTAACAATGCTTTTGCTTTAATATAACTGCTAGTAATATTGGCACAGCAACGTTTCTCAGAACAGCATCAGTCTTTTATTTAACTTCTGTTTGGCTGAGAACCATCACTTTCTTGTATCTATCCCCAGGTTTTCTTTACTTTCATTGCTGGCACTGGCAGCTGGCTTTACTTTATGGACCTTGTCACAGAGAAGTAATATTCTGTATTTTACAAGACAGCAGAGATAGAGGAGTTATATCAAAAGGCAGATGGCACAGGCCATTTACCAATTGAGAGTGATTACATCACTAGCTTTAACATGCCAGCTCCCTTCAAACTATTCATATGTATGACTAGGAAGATTGTCAGATTCCTTACTATGGTTCCAAGAAGTCATTTTTCAAAAAAGGTGTTTGGATGTTAAGTTGAAAACTGCCAAAACATTATTTTCATTCAAAATGATCATGATGTTTTAAAAATAATTCTCATTTATGTATTATTTTATTATGAATAAAGCATATAATTCATTATGATTAATCCCAAAATGGCAGATATACTAAACTCAGGATGTAATCCCTGATATACCTTTAAACTTTTAAAAGATCCAGGCTCCCTACATATGAACATCATAAAAAGAACTAAACATTCACATAGCTAAAAATGATTTCAATCACCTTTTCTACTTAAAGAACACTTCCATAAAAATGCAGTTCAGCATTGCTCACCCTAGAGCCTTCCTCAGTAACAAAGTCAATGGCCACTTTTGACATAAAGTCAAAAGAAAAAGGTGAGTTTACAGCTGGTAGCAATATAGAGGTGAGAAATGCCTTTAAAAAAACAAAGCAGGAGTTCCGCTCTGGCTATGGAGGAGTCTCTGATCAGGGAATGGGTGCTGGACGCCAAATCAGAGGTCACCTGCTAGCTTATAGATTTTCAGTGGAAACTGGGCATGGCTGTGAGCTCTGACAGCTGCAAGTGTCCGTATGTGGCAGTGATGCTGAAAGTAGCCGATCATTCTGGCCAAGTGAACAGCAAGTCCATCGAAATGACAATCCCCCAGTTTCAGAATTTCTACAGACAGTTCAAGGAAATTGCTGCTGTAATGGAAACTGTGTGAGAACTGACTTATGATTCTAAAGTAATGGACTCTACTTTCCAAAAAAGAACTGCATATCGATCAAAGGATATTTATACAACGAAAATTGCACTTCTGGGGCTGGAGAGATGGCTCAGAGGTTAAGAGAAATGGTTGCTCTTCCAGAGGATCCAGGTTTAATTCCTGTACCCACATGGTAGCTCACAACTGTCTGTAACTCCAGTTCCAGGGGATCCTACACCCTCCCACAGACATCTATGCAGGTATAATTTTTATACCAATGGTATAAAATAAAAAATTAAAGAATTTTACTTCCTAATTTTTTCCCAATTATTAAAAAATCTGATAAACTCTAATTATTTTAGTGGTGACCAAAGCTTTGCCTTTTCAATGAGCTAAAAGTGTCTGTGTTGAATACTGTGTGTATATGTAATTATATCTTAACAGATGAGTAAATAATACTCTTAAATGCAGCACAGCTTTGTATATCAGGAGAAAATTTTCAAATCTTATTGATACAGATCTAACTTTATGAATAAAATCTTGTCTGGAACTTAAAAGAAAATAAATAAATAAACAAAGCATGGGGCTGGGGAGATGGCTCAGAGGTAGAGGGCACTGGCTGCTCTTCCAGAGGTCCTCAGTTCAATTCCCAGCAACCACTGGTGGCTCACAACCATCTATGATGAGATCTGGTGCCCTCTTCTGGCCTGCAGGCATACATGTATATATAATAAAAACAAAACAAAACAAAACAAACAAAAACAACAACAAAGCATGTACTCCTTTAGAAATAATATAGATGAGTAGGGCTCTTTTGTAACACACACACACATATATATGTGGTATAATTTTATCTGAAGAAACATAATAAACAATCACAGTTATAGAATAAAATAGATAATAATGTCCAACATGAAAATTCAACTACCATCAATATTAAATTCTTAATACAAGATGTCCAAAATCAAAACACATAACCCAATGATCATACTACCTCCTTAAGATCATCTGACCTTCATTACTTCATACATTCATCTGTCAGGTGTTTTCTGATCACTGACTACACATCAGGATATGTGGTTCGGTTACTGAACATAAAGGTAAATAAAGTAAAACAGACCCCAGCAACAGGACAGGTATCAAATAATACACATTAATTACATTTAACAAAAACAAAAAGAGGGAGCTGCTGGCAGAATACCATTTTTAATGTTTGTTTTTTTTTTTTTTCTAGTGAGAATGCCATATTCTAATCCAGTGGTTTTCTATTCTGGCCACTTATGAAAAAATCATTTGGACAGAAAAAAAAAAAAGCAAACCTCGCCGGGCGGTGGTGGCGCACGCCTTTCATCCCAGCACTCGGGAGGCAGAGCCAGGCGGATCTCTGTGAGTTCGAGGCCAGCCTGGGCTACCAAGTGAGTCCCAGGACAGGCTCCAAAGCTACACAGAGAAACCCTGTCTCAAAAAACCAAAAAAAAAAAAAAAAAAAAAAAAAAAAAAAAAAAAAAAGCAAACCTCACTCTCCAAAAGCAGGTCCACATCACCTATCCTCACTCTCTACCCACATCCTACCATTCACTGACCGACAAAAACTGGTTTATTCCAAGGACACTAGGCTTTGGATCTAAGAACAGTTTTACATTAAAAGAGTACCCAAGTATTTTATACGATATTGAGTTTCAGTTTACTATAGGCTGCATATTTGAAGTCCGTGGGGCACCTCTGACTTGTAGATTTGCTTAGCTTTTGTTTTAAAGAAAAAAAAAAAACCTACCGATATTTAACATTTGGGAAGTGTTCCAGGGAAGTTTCAGTTCTGCTGAGTCTCGCACATACCAATGGGCTGGTGTGCAGAGCGCTTGCTTGTTCTTTTGGGAAGGGCATGGTGCTCTTCTTATGACTAGCCCGCTGTTACCTCCTTTCGATGCACAGATCATGGCCCTGGCTCTTTATTACTCACTCACAGTTGACTACTGTTTGAGAATGGTATTCCTCTCATTCTTAACCAAGAAGCAGAACCACAAAAAGAGGGTGTCTTAGGGTTCTATTGCTGTGAAAAGACATGGTGACCAAGGCAACTCTCATAAAAAGCATTTAACTGGTGCTTGCTTACAGTCTGAGAGGGTTTAGGCCATCATGGCAAACAACATGGTGGTATGGCGGCAGGCATGGCGCTGGGAACTAGCTAACAGCTTTACATACTCATCAGCGGGCAGCAGGCAGAGAGGGAGAGAGAGCTGCTGGGCCTGGGGTGGGCTTTTGAAACCTCAAAGCCCACTCCCGGTGACACACCTCCTCTAACAAGGCCACACCTCAATTTAGGCCTTTCAAACTGTTCATCAACTGAGGACTAGGTATGATATACACGAGCCTATGGGGGTATTCTCATTCAAACCACCACAGAGAGTATCTGTAATTTAAAAAAATGCAATGAATGCCTTTCCCCCTCCCAAACCCAACACTCTTCCAAGTATAGGAATAAAGTGCTATTTGTACACCTTTTCTTTAACATGGCAGCAGGGCTTACCTTCAGATCGAGGCTGCTAAGGCTTACAACATCATCCTCTTTCTCTCTTCGCTTTCTTTTCTGTAAGGGAAAAGAAGAGATTTGATTCATACATAGAACTAAATGTTACTGCATTAAACAAAGATTCCACGCAACTAGAAAAAAATCACTCCAAGGAGCTGGAGCAGTTAAAAATGCTGGCCGCTCTTTCACTGGACAGGAGTTCTGGCCTCAGCACCTGCGTCAGCAGCTCACCATCGCCTCTAACTCCAGCTCCACACTGGACAGATGGACTGACAGACAGACAGGCAGGCAGGCTTACACACACACAGATCCCATGCCCTCTTCTGACCTCTGTGGGCATCTGCGTTCATACACACACACACACACACACACACACACACACACACACACACACACACACACACACAAAAAAAAAATATTAAAAAAAATCACTTCAAAAAGGAGAACCTTATTTTGATTAGGGAGATTCACAAATTGTCTCTGGAATATGCATTGTTTAAACAGTACCCTCTGACTAAGTGCTCTCTTGCTAAAGTGATTCTTCACCACTAAAAATCTTACTTATGTGGTATTTTCAGACTAGAACTCATGTAAGTTATGAGCCATCCGTACTGCTACAGGAAAAGGAAACTATAGAAACACAGTGGTTTTATGTTGCTTGTTTTTTTAAGGAACTTACTGTTTATCAAGGGGTGAGGGAAGTCTTTTTTTTGGGGGGGGGGGGGATCCTTTTCTTATAGTCCAAACTCAGATTTATTGCCTGAAGCAGGATTTATCAAATGGAAGAGGAACAATTATATCCTGGAATGATCTGAGTAATTATTCAGCTCTGCTTGGTGCCAGTGGTAGCAAAACTGTATACATATCTATCATTTATAGTTCTTAATCAATTATGAACAAACACCATTGAGCAGCATTTTTATCATTCCACATCTCAAAATAACAACACATTCCTTGGGATCCAGACTATCTCTTGCAAATACCTAAAACTAACCATCTAAGGCTCTCTTCAGTTCTTGGCCTCATGAGACGAAAAAGCTTGGAGTCCAATTAGAATCGAGCAGAGTAGTTAAAAGAAAAGAAAACATCTGGAGAGATGCAGGGGGAATAATACAGCGAGAAAGCAAGCTACCATGAAAATAAGAGGAAGTCTGTGAAGTGAGAAAAGCTATCTAAGCCCCCTTGCAAAAGGGAAAGAAACAAATGTAACTAATTTAAATGGAAAAAAAATTTCAAATCAAATCCTGTAAGAATGAGAATAGGAAGAAGCAAAGTGCTAGAGAGGCCCACAGAAATCCACAAAGATACCCACACAACAGACTGCTGGCAATGGTCGAGAGACAGCCCCAACTGACCTACTCTGGTGATGGGATGGCCAAACACCCTAATTGTCGTGCTAGAAACCCCGTCCAATGACTGAGGGAACTGGATGCAGAGATCCATGGCTAGACCCCGGGTGGAGCTCCTGGAGTCCAATTAACGAGAAAGAGGAGGGTTTATATGAGCGAGAATTGTTGAGACCAAGGTTGGATAAAGCACAGGGACAAATAGCCAAATGAATGGAAACACATGAACTATGAACCAATGGCTGAGGGGCCCCCAACTGGATCAGGCCCTCTGAATGGGTGAGACAGTTGATTGGCTTGATCTGTTTGGGAGGCATCCAGGCAGTGGGACCGGGACCTGTGCTCATTGCATGAGTTGGCTGTTTGAAACCTGGGGCCTATGCAGGGTCGCTTGGCTTGGACTGGGAGGAGGGGACTGGACCTTCCTGGACTGAGTCTACCAGGTTGATTTCAGTCCTTGGGGGAGAGGGGCGGGAGCGGGGAGACCAAGGGAATCCGTGGCTGATATGTAGAACTGAATTGTATTGTAAAATAAAATTAAATTAAAAAAAAAAAAAGAATCATCCCTTGAGAGCTGGAGAGATGGCTCAGCTGATAAGAGAACTTGTTGCTTTTGCAGGGGACCCAGGTTTGATTCCCAGTACCCACATGAAGCTTTACAACCATCCATAACTCCAGTTCCAGGGGATCCAATACCCTCTTCTGACTTCCACAGGCACCAAGCAGGAATGTTGTGCATATACATACATGCAAGCAAAACACACATAAAACACAATGAATAAATCTAATTAAAAAATTAAAACAACCCCCAAATACAAAATTACTCCGGGGGGAAAAAGGAGCAGAATGCCACACTACTAGGGAATGAAGGCACACCAGAAAGAAATGTTCAAGCCAACAAAACTGCAACTCCATTCCCAACCGAGCTTAAAAGGCACTGAGAAAATGATACAAGAAATGAAGGAACATTATAAATTAGAACTGGGGAAAAAACTTCAAAACTAAAGTGACAGCTTTTAAGAAATCTTTATTGATTCAAAGGTCATGTTAAAAAAATATAGGAAAGTATGAACAATGTGATCATAACTTTGCAAAGCTAGCTAACCCCAAATCCTAAATATTTCTACCTGTCTGGAGAACCTATATATTAACAGGCAAACAACACGAACAGAATCTAGAGCAATACATGTGGAGTTGCTGACATGGGTCAGGAGAGGCTGCAGATGGACAGGTCTACATGCGGGTGTGTGTGTGTGGGGGAAACTATGAACTACCTAGAAGTTACTTTTGTTAATATGCAGCATGTGGTTATACATGCCTCCTCCCACCCTAACACACTTATCATACCAGTGGATGGAGTAAGTTCTCAAGCATGCATGGTTGTCGTGGTTTGGATACGAAATGTTCTCTGCAAACTACTCATGAATTGAAGGCTTGGTCCCATCACAGACAGCATTCAGAGAGGGGACTTCTGGGGAAATGACTGCATCAGGAGGCTCCTACCTTCATCAGTGATTAATCCATGATAGAAAAAACCCAAGACAATTGGGAGCATAGAACTACAGGAGGAGGAGCCTAGCTGGAGAAAGTGGGCCACTGGGAGTGTGGCCTGGAAAGACAGACCATGTCTGGTCCCTTCCTGTCTGTCTTTCTCTGTTTCCTGCCCGCCACAGATGAGGAGATTTGCTCCTGCAGGCCTCTTTGCTCAATGTGGCCCAGAAACAACAGTTGCCGACCACTGGCTGAAGCCATGGAATCTGCCAAAAGAATGTTTCCCTCCTTTCAGGTATTTACTACAGTGAAGAAAAAGTGACGAACAGAGTGGATCATTTTCTGGATTCTTTTTTTTGTTTCTTGGTCTACTTATCAAATACGTGTCCGTATCACGCTGTGCCTTAACTAACAGCAGTTACAGGCACCCTAATCTGTACACTTGTGTTCTGAATCTCCTTCCATGGGAAATGGGGGCTAGTAAACTCTAATCAGATCTCTTTCAAAACTATACAAAATACGGAGTCATGCCATGAGAACTGACTTTTTTTTTTAAACAGTCTTTTCCTGCATGAAGGTAGAGTGTCTCTCTTCTCAATCAGGTCTTCCATGTTCTTCAATGCTTTCCAGATTTCCCCATAAATGTTACACACATCTTTTCATGGGCTTATTTCTATTAAATTCCATCCTACTTCTACAATAAAAATATTTCAAATGAGTGTGCAGATTGTGCTAATCATGGAACTTTCTATGAACATTGGATAAATGATACATGTAATTAGTAAAAAAAAGTATAGGAACGCCCAATAGAAATAAGTATAAAATACAGAAGAATAGAATACGGATTAAGCATGTCTTGTTGAATCCACTGGAACATCCAAACATATGAGCAACACTTGGCAAACTAGAAAATGAATCATTTTTTTTTGCCATTTTCCTTAAATAAGCATAAAAATCATGATTTATTTATTATATATGTATTATGATGTACTAAGTTTTAAGTATAAAAAGAATCAATTTTCTTCATCATATCACAGAAAATTAAATGCTTGTGCAAAATCTTGTCCTAGGTCTGGAGAGATGGATCAGTGGTTAGGAGCACTGGTTGCTCTTCCAAAGAACACAAGTTCAATTCCCAGCACCTACATGGCAACTAACAACCACATGTAACTCCAGTTCCCGGGGATACCGGCTTCAATGGGCAATGCATACACATGGCACACAGACATATGTACACGCAGGCAAAACACCCATAAACGTACAATAAAAATAAATAAATCTTAAAAATAATCCTTGCCCTAAGATGGTGAGGCAGTTCCTGTCTTAAAGTAACCAAGAGCAGATAATCATTCACTTATATATATGTAAATACATATAATTCATAGTCAAGCATTTATAAATACATATAATTCATAGTCAAGCATTTATAAATTTTAAACATAGTATAAAAAGTTGTCAAAGAATGTATACTCAAAGGAACAGAAAGGTTCAGTATTAAAGACAAATTCATATGAGTGCTTTAAAAAAATCTTTTATTTACTTGAAATAAAACTTTCTTTCAGCTTTTGGCAATAAAGGAGTAAATCAGGTTGCCAAATATGGCGTTAGAAGTTCTGCTTCCTGAGTGATTCAGTAGCACAACTGAGCTGTACAGCAGAATGAAAGATAACCGAGGAATGGATCCCAAGTTCTGAAATGAAAACCCAGGCATCTACTCACCAAAGTAAAGTCCCACGAAGGACCGGGTGTTAAAAATGTGAAGGAGCTGCCTCTCCGAAGGGAGCATCTATGGACAGAAGCGTCAGATAATATAGTAATTTCAATACAATAAGGTGCTTGACAGATAAAAAGCTATCAGGTTTGCAGTCTCAAAACTAGTTAAAAAAGTGATCCAAATGTCAGCAGCTGGAGAGAGCAACGTCCTTCTGAACAGACACGAAATATACGAGGGTGTATGCTATCCCCAGAATCTTTACGATGAAGAGACTATATAAAATTAGTGGAGAGATTACTATTCAAAAACAATCCTCCAAACCAAACAGAGTTCATCTTGGGAGTCTATACACAACAATATAAAATCTATTAATATACAACAACAGCTTTAACAATTATTTTTATTAATAATAATAAAAGACAGCAAGAGAACTCATAGTTACATTTGGCACAATTCAAAACTTATGCCCAATATTTTTAAATAAATAAAAATTAACACAATAAAATCAAAATCATGTTATTTACATTAATGCAAATCTCTTTTGATTTTTAAAAATTTGAATTAAAGCAAGAGAATCTCGTTACAGAACCTAACTTTACCCTTCTAAAACACCACTCTATGTTTGATCTCCAGGACCCACATGGTGGAAGACACACATGTGCCTATACTGCCCCCCCAAAACAAAAACAAACCAATAAAAATGAAACAGAATTTTTTTTCATAGCATACACTTTGATCATATTCTTTCCCCTCCCTCAACTCCTCCCAGATTCCTCCCATCTCCCTACCAATCCAATTTCATAATTCTCTCTCACAACAAACAAACAATAGGAAAAACAACAAAAACAAAATCGAAACAAACTTAAAAAAAGACAGTAAGACAAAAATACCAAAACAAAACTCGTGCATGTGTAACACACACACACACACACACACACACACCCCACCATGGCATCTGTTTTATGTGGGCCAAGTACACCTGGTGTGTGGTTTGGATAAGAATGGCCCCTCTAGGTTTATATATTTGAATGCTTAGTCAACCAGTGGAACTCTTTGAAAGTATTAGGATTAAGAGGTGTGGACTTGATGGAGGAACTGTGTCACTCAAAGGGATGGGCTTGGGGATTTCAAAAGCCCATGCCAGGCCTAGTCGCACTGTCTTTCTGCCTACAGATCTGGGTGTAAAACTCTCGGATACTTCTCCAGCACTGTGTCTGCCTGCATACCACCGTGTTCCCCATCATGATGATAATGGATTAACATCTGAAACTGTAAGTAAGCACACAATTAAATGCTTTCTTTTATGAGTTCCCTTCATCATGGTGTCTCTCCACAGCAAAAGGTCAGTAACTAAGACACCTGGGCATGGGGCTGGGTCTGGAGTGTGGGTGATATATCAGTAACACTCCATTGAAAAAACAAACAAACCAATTTTCCCTTTCCCAGTAGGTATCAATTGCAAATAGCTTCTTGGTTCTGGGTGACATTTCCCATTTTCAGTGCTGGATTTTGTCTGGTTTGAACCTGTTGCAGGTCTTGTGCATGCTTTCAGTCTCTGTGAGTTCAGATGTGTATCAGTCCTGTTGTATCTGGAATATACTGTTTCCTTGGGGTCATCCACCAACTCTGGCTCCTATAGTCTTTCTGTCTCTTCTGCATAGAATTCCAAAGGGGAGGGGCGTGACAACAACATCTCATTCAGGACTGAGTGCTCCAAAGTGCCTCCACTGCCAACTTGACACAGACTGGCTTATCTGGAAAAAGGAACCCCAAGTGAGAAAATGCCTCCATCAGACTGGCCCATAGCAAGTCTGTGGGAGCATTTTCTTGATTAACAGTTGATGTGGGAGGGCCCAGTTCACTGTGGGTGGTGATGTAGCTAGCCAGGTGGTCCTAGGTGGTATAAAAACGGTAGCTGAAAATAAGTCTGGAGAACAAGTCATAAGCCATATTCCTCCATGGTCTTTGCATCAGTTCCTGCCTCCAGGCTCCTGCCTTGAGTTCCTGCCCTGACAGCCCGGGATGATGGACAACAAGCTGTAAGATGAAAAAACCCTTTCCTCTCCAAGTTGCTTTTGGTCATGCTGTTTATCATAGCAATACAAAGTAAACTAGGAAAAGTATGATGGAGAATTATAACACCAAAGCTATAAATTAATTACATAGTGACAATACTAACCTTAGAATTTGATGTCTGACAGTTGGAAACAAAAACTAGCTCTTGAGAATCTTAAAACAAAAACAAAACCTAACTGGGAAATGCTGTGGGATGTTCTGTATGGCAAATGTGTTGCTCTGATTGGTTAGTAAATAAAACACTGATTGGCCAGTAGTCAGGCAGGAGGAAGTATAGGCGGGACAAGGAGGAGAAGAATTCTGGGAAGTGGAAGGCCGAGTCAGAGACACTGCCAGCCGCCAACATGACGAACAGCATGTGAAGATGCCGGTAAGCCATGAGCCACATGGCAAGGTATAGATTTATAGAAATGGATTAATTTAAGATATAAGAACAGTTAGCAAGAAGCCTGCCACGGCCATACAGTTTGTAACCAATATAAGTCTCTGTGTTTACTTGGTTGGGTCTGAGCGGCTGTGGGACTGGCGGGTGAGAGAGATTTGTCTTGACTGTGGGCCAGGCAGGAAAACTCTAGCTACAAATGGCGCCCAACGTGTTGGCAAGAGTTTCCACCTAAAACCTGAGAAAAGATTCTAAAACGGAGCTAAAAACAGCTTCCTAATTGTCTCTCTCAAATGAGCAGCAGCCTGCCGGTTTGAGCTACTGGTGGGTTCCTAGCGTGCGCGCTCGACCTGCTGTATGGCGGGAATGAGGCCTCTGCAAGTGGTACATTAAGCTGCGTGGTGGATTTAGCCTTTGCTAGTACAAAACAAAAAAAGAGGTTTCTGGGCTACATGCTGCTTGGATAAAAGCACAGACCCACGATAGCTCCCAGAGCTGGCGGTAAACGTACCACTGCCATGTTGGGCGGAGCCAGCAGCCATAGCGCCGTTTCAGTCTTACAAATGCTGCAGTTTAAAGCAACAGATTCACAATAAGACAGATTCAGATGTAATAGTTTACAATGTGTGTAAAATATATGTAGGCTTGAAAGAGACAAAAAAGGTGATATATACAGTTATAGAAACAAATACATAGTTTTAAAAAATAAAGTCTTTAAAGAGACAGTAAAATTAATATAAAAAATAAGCCACGTAAAGATGAATATTACACAGAGAATCTGGATTGTGTTGTCTTTGGGATTTTTAACTGCAGAAAAACATTTGATTGTAAAAGATGTTGAGTTAAACCAATATGTATATTTTAAAGATACCTTGACTTCAAAATTTGGATCTAAGGATATGTTGCTTTGGAAAGCAGGCTCTGCTTTTGTTTCCACAGAAAGCAAGAGGCTATGGATTTGTTCCAGATTAAGATACATCAGGTTTGACCAGCCAAGACCCCCTGAAAGGTCTCCGATGACACCATGGCCCAGATGATCCAACATCCAGAATGGTTTGAAGGCAACTGGCTCAGACAATACAGCCTCATGGACTATTCCATAATCCTAAAATTTTCTTTGTGTCCCCATAAGATACAGCACCCCCCTCCAGCAGGAAGTAGTAAGAGAAGCTACGCCCAAATTCCCAAATTATATGTAATTGTACTTTGTTAAGGTTAAAACCTTCCTTTTTGGAAGAAAAAAAAAAAAGGGAAGTGCTGTGGGATGTTCTGTATTTCAAATGTGTTGCTCTGATTGGTTAGTAAATAAAACACTGATTGGCCAGTAGTCAGGCAGGAGGAAGTATAGGCGGGACAAGGAGGAGAAGAATTCTGAGAAGTGGAAGGCTGAGTCAGAGATACTGCCAGTCGCCACCATGACAAACAGCATGTGAAGATGCCGGTAAGCCATGAGCCACGTGGCAAGGTATAGATTTATAGAAATGGATTAATTTAAGATATAAGAACAGTTAGCAAGAAGCCTGCCACGGCCATACAGTTTGTAAGCAATATAAGTCTCTGTGTTTACTTGGTTGGGTCTGAGCGGCTGTGGGACTGGCAGGTGAGAGAGATTTGTCCTGACTGTGGGCCAGGCAGGAAAACTCTAGCTACAGGGAAATACACCCAGTTTAATGCCAAGATTCTTTTATGCACTATCAACAATCAGTTTACAGTAGTAACCCCCTCCCCCATTTCAATAACAAGTTTCTATTTATTTTAAACAGCATGGAAAAAATAAATTGAAAAAAAAATAAGAACTGTGCACAGAAAACACATGGAACAGTGTCCAACTTTGAAAAATTTTGGAAAATACTCTTTTATTTTTCCCTTTTTAATGAGAGTTAGATTCAAAATATAACCACTATCTTAAAGTCTTGTGGAAAAAAATCATTTTCATAAAACATTAACATCATAAGTGGTTTTTCTAGAAGAACACTGGACAACTCACTTCCAAAGGGACAAAGACTGAAATGTAGTGCCATAGAGCATCAGTCTCTCTATCCATATAGGCATACTATTCTTTTATATACCAAAGTAATTAAATCATTTAAGGCGTAAGATAAACTAACACATTAAGGAGCCAGTTTGGTTCATTAAGCTGAGTTTTCTTTAACTCCAGGGTGACTTTCACTGGGCCTCTAACATTTCTTTTCCTATAATGTGCTCCTGAGCACTGTAAAGTACCATTATACTACATTAGTTTTAGTAGAAATAAAGTATTTTGCCTGTCTGCATGTAAGTAAATCACATGCATACATGCCTGTGGAGGTCAGAAGAGGGCATCAGATCCCTTGGAACAGGAGTTACAGATGGTTGTGAGCTGTCATGTGATCAGGAATCAAAGCCTGGTCCTCTGCAAGAGCAACAAGTACTCTTTTCACAGCTGATTTACCTCTTCAGAGCTCCCCATCCCCACTGGTGCATTGTATTTTATCCCTTCTTGGCCTTGGGATCCTTGACTCCTTTTTCTCCTCGGCCTGGACTTCTTCACAATGAAGCTTTTGCCTCAGTGTAATTTCTCATTACTCCCTCTATTTCAGGAAGTAATAGCCCTATTCCAGGTTCTGCAGCTACAGTGAATGAGTACATTCACCCAGAATTCACCATGCCCATTTATTTCAGGGCCCTTTTACATGAGAAGTTATTCATCTGTCTACCTGCTTACTTACTAATCTGTTTAGTGTGGCAAGGTTTCATCTTAGATAGCCCTGAACCTCTCTGATCTTCCGGCCTCTACTTCCAGGGTGCTGTGATTACAGGCAGTGCCAGCATGCCCAGTACTATGAGGTGCTGGAGATCAAACCCAGGGCCTATCTATGCTTACTGCACTCTACTTACTGGGCTACATCTCCAGCCTTATAGTCATCTATTCACTATGCACCCCAAACCAACAATCCTCCTGGACTCAGGGATTACAATAGGGAGATATCTCCTGTCTTCTCTAGCCAGGATGAAGTACTCCTTTTATTTACATCTATGCTACTCTGTCTATCACTAGAAGCTCTCACCAAACACTATTTAACTTGCTTATTCGTTCCTACTAGATTACTTTCCATCTCTATATTCTTTGTATCTGGCATTCATTTATTTTTTGAACAAATCACACCACATTTTTCTTCAATCCACTGGAAACAATTCTTGGCTCAATATTTAAAGTAAGATGGGGTTAAAGCCTGATAAGTTCTTATTTGAAAGGGCTGAAAGTAGCTAGTCATGGTGGTACACATTTGTAACCCCAGCACTCTTTAGGTAGCAGCAGGAGGATCAGGAGTTCAAGGTTATCCTCGGCTACATATTGAGTCTCAGGCCAGTCTAGTGAGATTTGGCCTCATAACAAGTGAATGAACAAACAACCAAACCCAAAAGGCTGAAAAATGTGTAAACAAATTTAATACACTCAACCAATTTAACACTCTTAGAAATACAATCAGATAAAAATCCTCTAACATAGTGTTGAGTATGGAATACCTGTATGCAAAGCCACTAGCAAGAGATACCATATACACGAGCATGTGTGTGTCTATACCATTTCCTCTAACTTCCTAATTAACTAAATCAAATTTGAAATTCTTTCAAAAAAATATTTTTACATTTACGGATGTATGTATGCATGTATGTGTACATATGTGTATGTATGTGTGTGCAGGTCAGAGAACAACTTGGAGGTAGGCTCTCTCTTTCCATTATGTGGGTCCTGAAGATCAAACTCAGGTCAGCCTTGTCAGCACATGCCTTTACCTGCTGAGCTGTCTCACTGGCCTGGATTTGAAGTCTCACGATGAATGTCCACCACGTGCTTGCTAACTATTACAAGAGCACCTCCGTCACTTCATTTCCCACATCCCCCACTGCCTTTACTTCACCCCTCACCTGTTTCAAAGGCCCCTGGACATACCCAGTAGGATTCTTCATCCCAGAGGAGCACTTGCTGCTCCTCTATGCTTAGAAACATTTCTTCCAAATTCCCTCATCTCCACCCCTCCCTTCCCTCCAATTGCATTATCATCAAGAGACTTTCCCTGTGATCTCTTAAAAATAGTAATGATCTCTATGCCCCTCACCAGGCTTTCATTTACTTCCTGATGTTACCAATCCTTCCCAAGAGAATTTCAGCTTCCTAAGAGCAAGAGCTCTAGCTATTTTTTTTTTTTTTTTTTTTTTTGGTTTTTCGAGACAGGGTTTCTCTGTGTAGCTTTGCGCCTTTCCTGGAACTCATTTGGTAGTACAGGCTGGCCTCGAACTCACAGAGATCCGCCTGGCTCTGCCCTCCCGGCGAGCTCTAGCTATTTTTATTCACTAGAATCCCCATTATCTACAACAGTGTCTGGTGTTAGGATGGGTGCAATAGTATTTATTACTGAATGAGTGTAAAACCGCCTCCATCCATCTTTTGGAATCCTTTTCTTTTCTCTTAACTAGTCTTTCCTGATTCTCCTAATTCCCAGTCTCAAAGATGACTTCCTTCTGCACATAAGACCTCTTTGTAAACACAGGATGACAGGAAGTTTCACAAGGCAAGCATTCAGGTAAATAGTTCCTTAAACTTCAAACTAATAAAAATCAGCACCAAGTGAGAGAATCTACCTCTTTACAGAGTTACTTAATACACTGGGTTTACGCGTGCCTTGTTAATGAAAGTAAGGTGTTTGCTTATTCCTCAAAACCATATAGCACAACTGGACTATAAGTTATATAAAAGATTAGTTTAAAATCATATCAAGTGATCTGGGTGTGGTAGTACACATTGTAATCCTAGCACTGGGGAGCTCAAGGAAGAAAGACCAGTTTATAGGCAGAAAGGTTTGGTGCCTGCTCAGGTGACCATTCCTCTCCTCTCCACCGGTTCCATGAGTTTTGGTCTGAGCACCTGCAGTCTGCTAGTTTCAATAGAGAACAGCTCTGTGCAGAGTACGGTATGAGTTTCTGGCCAGTCTCTCTACGTAGTTGAGTTCTAGGATGACCAAGTTACATAGTGAGAACTTGTCTCAGAAACAAAACCACCACCACCACCACCAACAAAAAAACTAGACTTCTGAAAAGATGGAGCAGATACAGGATTGTTACTTTTACAGATTAAAAACTGACAGACAAGGCTTATGCAGAGACTTCTTTGCACAAGCCCATGCTAAGCACCGAAGTTCACAACGCCTTATATGAAGTAGACACTATCACATACTCACTGCACATACGCAGAACTCAAAGTTATACGATCTGTAACTTCAACAGAATCCAATATTATGATGGGAACCACTATATTCAGTATTTTAAAACAAAAATTTCATATTTCACAGGTCAAAAGACTTACAGAGCAGTACAGACAAATGCCATTCCAATTCCCTATTTGATAACATTGTGATTTCCACGGCCTCTCTTCCAGGCACAGATTCTGAAATCAATCTAGCGTCCACCTTTTCCAGACACACAGAAATAAAGACACAACACAGACTATGAAATGTGCTAATAATCGAAAAGCCAGAGAGTGTCTTTCTCCAATCTCTTCTTTCCGGGAGCTTGGCCTATTTTGGTCTGCAAAAAAACATTTCATTTCAACAACAGCTTTTAGGCTTAAAGGGCTGGTGCCTGCTCAGGTGACAATTACTCCCGTCACTACAGGTTTTCCATGACAGTTTTGGTCTGAGCACCTGCAGTCCACAACTAGATTCCTGCAGGGAACAACAGCTCTGGTGCAGAAAAGTATGGTTCCCCGGAAGGGGTTAAAGGAGACTGTCAACAAGTCCAATGAGTCCGCCCCTTCTAAGCGGGGCCGAGCAGTCGCTGTCTGGGGCCTCAGCTGAAGGCAGGCCCTCGGTGCCTCCGGCCTGGCAAGCACACTCACCTCCCGTGGGTTCCCCCATTTCTGCCCGGCCTTCCCTTACCTCCCCTGCTCCATTCCCAGTACGCGGTCACCTCCCGGCTCTCTCGTCCACCCCCTTCCTGAGTCTCTGGACTCCATCCCTGATGCTCCCCATCCACCCACTTCCCGGGTCTCCAGCATCCATCCCTGGCTCTCCCTACCCATCTCCTGCCACACTCACCTCCCGTCCGCCGCCGGCCCGGGGGTGTCGGCCGGAGGCCCTGCGGCTCGGTCCTCGCTGAGCACTGAGGCCCTGCGGCTTCTCCTCCGCGGTCGGGGCTGCTTCTGAGTCGCTGGCTCTGGCTCCATGTCCGGGGGTAGGGGGTGGGGCGGTGGCCCAGTGCCCGGGAGACCGACCGTGGCGGGCACGGTGCCCGCCAGCTTCTGCGAGGCAGTAAGCTGCCTTCTAGCAGGGAGCTGCTACCGCCATCATCCGGGGATTTGAAAATGGCGGCGGCCCAGCGGTCAGCCAACCAGAGAGCGGGTAGCGGTTGCTAGGATATGTGGGGTCCCGCCCTAGTCTAGAGGACCTCTCAGCACACTTCTGGAAGCCGGAGAGAAAGTAGCGGAGTGAAAGTTAAGGGTTTGGAGGTTTATTCTAACTCCGTTCCTGAATCTCCCAAAGGCAGTCTCTATTCACTAGAACCTTTGCTGCAGACCAGGCAAATGGATAGGAAGCCGGTTACCATTTGATGTTGCTTAGCATTAGACAGGTTCAAAGTAATGACTCCAAAGAAAGGTTCAGTTGCAAATATAAACACTAAATTATTCGTGTGGGATATATGGCCAATTGCCAAAAACAATACCTGTGTTCTCAGGGATGTCTCCGGATAACCAGGGAAGTCTAGTCATGTCCTCTTGTCTTCCAGTACTTTCTCTGGTTGCAAGACTGCAAATGCGCATCGTGAAACAAAGGACTTCTCGTGTTATTTTATGAAGATAGGTAAACGAAACGTTCTTTGGTTTTAAACGTTGCTAACAGCCTTAAATGTAGTCTCTTCTTTTTGTGGAAGGTTATCCTAAAAAATAACACTAGACAGATGTTAATGACTTTGTGCATAATAGAACAACTGAAGGCAATCCAGATGAATGATTGGGAAATGTTTAAATACAACTCATTGACTGGAAAGGCTGTCTTCAGCCTATAATGAAATAGTCTTCCCCAGGGAAGAACACACCAACTGGTTATCTAATACCAAGTAGTCAGGCCTGAAAATATATACAAGTAACATCATACAAACTGAGCAGGCTGTATTTATGTATTTATGTAACAACAATTTGCAAAAAAAAAAAAAGTCACGAATTTGAAAGAGAGCAAGAAAGTGTATAAGGGAGCATTAGGAGGGAGGGAAGGAAAGGGGGGAAATGATGTGATTATATTATCATCTCAAAAAATAAAGGAAATAATTAAAAATAAAAGATATGCTGGGTGGTGGTATCATGCGCCTTTAATCCTAGCACTCAGGAGACAGAGGCAGGCAGATCTCTGTGAGGGTGAACCTAGCCTGATTTACAGAGTGAGTTTCAGGAATGCCAGGGCCACACAGAGAAACTTTGTCTCAAAAAAAAAAAAGGAAAGAAATAAAATCAAACATTATAAAAACACAAAATATAGATCTGTGCTGACTAGTTTTTATGTTACCTTGACACAAATGATAGCCATCTGAGGGAACCTCAACTGAGAAAATGCTGCTATAATATTGGACTATAGGCAAGCCTGTAGAGCACTTCCTTAATTAGTGATTGATGGAGGAGTACCCTGCCCATTGTGGGTAGTGCCATCCCATAGCTGGTGGTTCTGGGTTCTATACTAAATAAGGCTCAGCAAGACATGAGGAGCAAGCTAATAAGCAGTATTCTTCCCTGGCCCCCTGCATCAGCTCCTGCCTCTTGGTCCTTGCCCTGCTTGAGTTACTGTCCTGACTTCTTTGATGGTGAACTGTGATGTGGAAGTGCAGCTGAATAAACTCTTTCCTCTCCAAATTTCTTTGGTCATGATGTTTAATCACAGCAATGTAACTCTAAAGAAAACAAGAACTATAATCAATTTTAAATCACTCTATAATTATACTGAAGAAAAAGATGAAATTAATACATTAAGTTTTCTCTAGGTGGTAAGACTTTTGGCACTTAAAATACTTTTTGTTTTTGTTTTCTTTGCTCAGCCTTGGTGCAGGGAGGAGGGGACTGGACCTGCCTCAACTGAATCTACCAGGCTGGGCTGAATCCCCAGGGGAAACCTTGCCTTGGAGGAGGTGGGAATGGGGGGTGGATTGGGGGGAAGGCTGGGTGGTGGGAGGAGGGAGGACAGGAGAATCGGTGGCTGATATGTAAAATTAAATTAATTATTTAAAAAAATGTGTCTCCCCACTTCAAATGATTTAATTAAGAAAAAATTCCTCACCAGAACATGGTGGTGCATGCGTTTAATCCCAGCACTCGGGAGTCAGAGGCAGGCAGATCTCTGTGAGTTGGAGGCCAGCCTGGGCTACACAGTGAGTTCCAGGACAGTCTCCAAAGCTACAAAGAGAATCCCCATCTTGAAAAACAAAACAAAACAAAACAAAAAAAAAGAAGAAAGAAAAGAAAAGAAACAAAAAGAAAAAATTCCTCACAGTTGTACTGAGGCCTTTGTGTTTTAGTTAATTCCCAATGTAGTCAAGTTGTCAACCAAGAATAGCCATCACAGTATTTGAAACATAAAAAATAATTACTGCAGAGATCTATTAAAGTGTTATTTAAGAATCTTTATTTAAATAAAGGTATGCTTTTTTGTGTGTAACTCTGGCTGGCCTGCAACTTGCTCTGTAGACCCAGCTGGCCTCAAACTCAGATATCTGCCTCTGACTTCTGAGTGCTAGGCTTACCACACCTCTTGTGCTTTGTTTTGTTTATAAGCGTGAAATAAACCCTCATTTGTGATTAAAAAAAAACCAAAAAACAAAAACCAAAAAAACAAAAAACAAAAAACAAAACACCATGACCAAAGCAACTTACAGAAGGAAGAGTTTATTTGGGCTTATGGTTCCAGAGGGACAAGAGTTCATCACGGGGGCGAGACATGGCAGTGAGCTGCAGCCATGGTGTCAGGAGCAGAAAGTTGAAAGATCGCATCTCTGACTGCAAATATGAGGCAGAGAAAGCAAACTGGAAGTGGAGTGAGACTACAATTCTCAAAGTCCATCCCCAGTGGTATACCTCCTCTCTACCTAAGGCTCCGCCATATAAACACCTCCAAGGGGCACCACCAACTGGGGACTAGGTGCTTGAAGACTTGAGCCTATGAAGGACATTTATCACTCAGACCATCATAACTACATACTGAGATTTGGTCATACAAACCCAGGAAAAGGTCGGTGCTGGATAGTTTTATATCAACTTGATACAACCAGAGTGATCAGAGAGAAGGGAACCTCAACTGAGAAAATGCCTTTATATGATCAGGCTGTAGGCAAGCCCAGAGGGCATTTTCTTAATTAGTGATTGATCGGGGAGGGCCCATCCCATCCTGGGTAGTGCCATCCCTAGGCTGGTAGTCCTGGGTTTTATAAAAAGAAGGCTGAGAAAGACATAAGGAGCAAGCTAGTAAGCAGCAACACTCCTCCATAGCCTCTATTCAGCTCCTGCCTCCAGGTTCCTGTCTTGCTTGAGTTCCTGTCCTGACTTCCTTTAGTGATGAATTGTGATGTGGAAGTAAAAAATAAAACCTTTCCTCTCCAACGTTGTCTCAAAAAACCAAAACCAGCCCCTTAAAGAAAATAGTATTTTCTTTCTTTCTTTTCTTTGAGGGAAGCCCCAAAGGTGGGGTGGGTGTGGACCTGGGAAGACAGGGAAGTGAGTATGGTCACGGTGCATTGTGAAACTCCCAAATAATAAAAATATTATGTTGGAAAAAAACAAAACCAGGGCTGGAGAGATAGCTCACCAGTTAAGAGTATGTGTTGATCTTGTAGAAGATACAAGTTTGGATCTCAGTACTCACATCGGACCACAGCTCACAGCTGCCTGTAACTCCAGCTCCAGCTTAATCCAATGCCTTATTCTTACCTACATGGGTACCTCCACACATAAAGTACATGCCCACACTGACCCACACAGATAAAATAAGAGTAAATCTTAAAAATCAAAACCAAAACCAAAGCCAACAGAAATTCAATGATACTTTTTTGGTTTGTTGTATGTAGTGAACTGGCCACTGAAATCCCACTTATTGAAAACTATTTAAGAAAGGAATGGAAAAGGAAGGGAATTCAAATAGCAAGCACCATGTTTTTATCAGTTTAATTTTTTTCATTCTTTCAAGACCTAAGCATAGCTACCAAGTGTGTCCAAACCAGTACTGTATGACTGTATGATTTCTTTCAAGTTCTTGTTTTCCGTAATTGTTGGGGCTGTGAGATCTGCCGTGACTAGGTGGCCTGCAGGCTGGAACTCTAGACTAGGAGCTGGTACAGATGCTGATGCTGTCACCTACAGCAGAAATGTCCCCCTCAAAGCCTCAATTTTGCTCTTGTGGCCTTGCAACTAATTGTGTAAGGAGAGCACACTTGGAGGATTGCAGTAGTTTGTATGAGAAATGCTTACCTGAAGCCTTATGAGTATGAACTGGCTTCCCAAAGAAAACAAATATAAAAAAATACAATACTATATTAACAAAATTATTTGCAAAAGTCTAGAAAATTCCCTCATGTTTGGGAGTACTGTTGGATGAGGTGTATGTGTGGGAGGTGATGGTAAAAGAAGGTACATCTGGCTAAGCTTGGTGATGTAAGGCTTTGATCTCAGCACTTAAGAGGCCAAGGTAGGATGACTGTGAATTTGAGTTTCACATGATCTACATAGTAAGATCCTGTCCAGAGAGAGAGAGAGAGAGAGAGAGAGAGAGAGAGAGAGAGAGAGAGAGAGAGAGAACAAAGCAAAATGATATTTTCTTTGTTTCCCCTAAGTATTAGAGAGTGATCTATGTCCATACCACATTGAATGTGTCTGGTATTGTCTGCATTTAAAATGATTTGAACCTTATTCAAGGAGAAGATACTTGTAAAATGCGTATGAAAGAGAAAGGGCTGATTTGGGGCCGCATAGATGGCTCAGTGGTTAAGAGTTTTTGCTGCTCTTGCAGAGGACCAAAGTTTGGTTCCCAACACCTTTTAGGCTGATTTGCTATTGTAGCAAATTTTAACTCATATGCTTTCATTTTCCCCATTAATGCTGACTCACTTCTTTTTTTTGCATTTTATTTTATTTAAAAAACTTTTTTTTATTCATTTTACATACCAACCACAGATACCCCTCTCATCTCTCCTCCTGCTCCCTCCTCCCCTAACCCCTCCCCCCTCCCAGACCCTCCTCCAAAAGGGTAAGGGATCCCATGGGGAGTCAGCAAAGCCTGGTACATTCAGTTGAGGCAAGACCAATCCCCTCCTCCTCGACCCCCCTCC